ATAACTCTAAGGGGAGAGTCCCCATATAAGGAGAATGCTAAAGAATGTCCTAGGGCTGAAGGTGAGTGCCCAGGGAAGGAAGGGCCACTCCCCACTGTGGCTGGGATTCAGAATTCACTGGGAGGTACAGAAGCTCACTGGGTCGCCCAGGCTGGAGCCGGTTTCCAGAGCCACATCCCTTTGAGGTGCCAGAGGGCCATGGTGTGGACAGGCCGAGGCTGGGGGGTGGAGAGCTGCCTGCCCATAGGTGGCACAAGGCCTGGGGTGTGCGGTGCCCACGCCAGCACCGGGGCTGTGGGTGCATGGCAGGGGCGGACCACCACCAGATGTCTCCCACATGTGCTTCGAGCAGCCGTGGGGTCAGAGCAAGAAGAAAGTGCTAGAAGCACCACTCCTGCAATATCCCTCCGCTGTCTCCACCGACAGAGTTTAACGTGCTGCCTGCAAAGGAGCGACGCTCGCCGCAGAGCAGGGAGCGAAGGCAGGACTTGGACGTGGGGAGTGATTAGTTGGTATCCGGCACAACCAGTTTTGGAAAACTTGCTTAAACAGCTTTACTGAAGTATAATTTACATATAAATTCACCTATTTTAACCACACAGTTCAATTATTAGTAAATTTATAATTGTGTAACCAGCACCATGATCCAAAAAAAAAAAAATTTCCATCAGCTCCAATAGATCTCTTGTGCCCTTTCTGTCATCACTTCCAGGCAGCCATGAGTCTGCTTTCTGTGTCCGTAAATTTGCTTTTTCTGGACATTTCATGTAAATGGAATTACGCAATGTGCGTCCTTTGCATCCGGCTTCTTCCACGTCCGTGTTCTAAGGTCCGTCCCTGCTGTTGCACGTAGTTCATTCCCTTCTATTGCCACAGTGTGTTGATCGTTTCACCAGGTGATGGGCATTTGCATCGTTTCCATTTTTTGCAATCAAGCATGCTGCTGCTGTGGCCGGCGGCGTTCGTTTCTGCTGCGGTCACGCTCACTGCTCTTCCCCGCGCCGCCTGGGCCTCCCGGCTCCACCGCGTGTCTCTGTGCTTCGTCCCGCCGTCACTTCTCACCTGCCCCCTGTTCACTGATGCTGCTGTTAAACATGGTCATTGCGTTCTTTGTATCAGTTAATGTATTTTTTGGTTCAGAATTTGCATTTTTCCTATTTATATTTTCTAATTATTTGCCCCAATTCTCAGCCTCGTCTTACTGCTAGGACATAATAAGCATCGTGCTTTCACATGGACGCCTGGCAACTCCCAATCTCAGCCCTGTGTGTCTGAGTCTGACAACTGTTTCTGCTGTTTTGGTTCACGCTTGTGTAGTGTCCCAGGTTATTTTTTTACCGTATGTTAAAAATTAAATAATTTGAGACCCGGGATGACGTTAACCTCCTCTGGTGAGACTCTGCCTGTTTCTGGCAGGTGCCTGGGCTGCTAGGACTCCCGAAC